ATCAGTGCAGCCTATCAGTGCCCATCTGTGCTGTCTATCAGTGCGGCCTTATCAGTGCCAATCAGTGCTGTTGATCAGTGCCCGTCAGTGCAATCTATCAGTGCCCATCAGTGCAGCTTCATCAACACACATCACTGAAGGAGGAAAATTACCTGTTTGCAAAATTTTATAATAGAAACTAAGAAAAACTTTTGGGACTTTTTTGTTTGTATAGCAAAAAATTAAACACCCAGTGGTGACTAAATACCACGAAAAGAATGCTCTATTTGTGTGAAAAAAATGCTAAACATTTCATATGGGTACAGTGTTGCATGACCGTGCAATTGTCATTCAAAGTGCGACAGCACTGAAAGCTGAAAATTGGCCTGGGCAGGAAGGGGGTAAAAGTGCCCAGTAGGCAAGTGGTTAAAAACGCCCCTAAAATGCCTGCTTCCAATGCCAATGTGAAAGAGACCTTATAATATTTAGTAGCATTTATGAGCTACTAAAAATCTCCTGCGTAGCTCTAACTCAGTGAAGTAACTGCCAACAATTGGTTAGATTTCTTGACAGCAAGACATGTAAGTGTCCTTCTAGCTAAACTGTCAGGAACAAGTCACACTTGTGTGTTGTAATGCATGTTTCCTAGCACCAGAACAATGAGCCAATGCAGCTCCAACACTCTGGGTCTGGGGGGAACCTCACGCCTTTTTTTAAATACATTTTCGCATGGGGTCCTAGAATATTTTTTTTTTAATTTTGGCATTGTGTTCCCCTCAAAATCCATACCAGATTCTTATCCAAGCATGCAGCCCAACAGACCAGGAAAGGGGGAGAAGGGGCAAGCACCACCTGAAGGGCCTGGTATGGATTCGGGGGGCCCAAATACTGTTTATTTTAAATTGTTTAACCAGTTCCGTGCTGCTCTATAGCACAAATACTGCTACAGGGTGGCATGGGTGAGCAAAATCACATATATATATATATATACATGATTTTGCAGTTCCGGGTCAGGGGCGCGCATGCACCATTCACGGCCTCGGCTACCAATCACTGGGTCCTGGCTGGCGATCACTCACTTGCACCCGGTGTTGCCATGTATCTCTGACGGGGGAGAGACCTGTACGTAAACCTTGCAGATCTCTCCCTTGTAAGCTCCTGCCCACAGCTTTGTATGGTTCTGCATAGCACAGCCATACAAAGCAGTGTGATTACAGTGAAGCACACACACAGACCCCCCAGTGAAACAGCACAGCCTGCAGACAATACCAGGCCTCCTGGCTGCTCTGAAGATCTCCCAGGGCAAGGGTACAGGATTAAGCACAGCACTGTGCTTTGAGAGCTTGCTAAATGTGGCAGACTCTCCACTTGTAAATATCTGGGTGTGCTGATGTACTCACTCCCAGACATGTGTCTGTTTAAACCCGCCAACATCCAATCCGATCCGACCCACAAAAAAAAGGGATGGATGGGGATCCAATTCCCCTTCCGTCCATCGCATTGGATCGAATGAAAACAGAAAGGCGGTCCATTTTCATCCGACCTCCCATTGAGGAAAGCGAGCTGCTCTGTGTCCACACTGCAACAGCGGAGCGGACACAGACCTGTCATCTGCTTGCTCAGCAGGGATCAGCGAAGAGATCGCTGCTGAGCAAGTGGATCCGCTAAATGTGTCCGCTCCATGTGAAAGGACCCTAAGGTGTGGACTCATGTGTAATCAGCAGCAAAAATGCTGAGGCCTAATCTATATACAGGTAGAGGTCAGAGCAGGTGGCAGCAGTATGCATAATTAACCACTTGCCTACCAGGCACTTTTACCCCCTTCCTGCCCAGGCCAATTTTCATCTTTCAGCACTGTCACACTTTGAATGACAATTGCGCGGTCATGCAACACTGTACCCATATGACATTTTTATAATTTTTTTCACACAAATAGAGCTTTCGTTTGGTGGTATTTAATCACCACTGGGTTATTTTTTTGCACTATAAATGAAAAAAGGCCAAAAGTTTTTCCTTCACTAATGTGTGTTGATAAGGCTGCACTGATGGGCACTGACAGGCCCTGATAGGCAGCACTGGTGGGCACTGATAGGCTGCACTGATGAGGCAGCATTGATGAGGAGGCACTGATGAGGCACTGCAGTACTGATAGGTGGCAATGATGGGCACTGATAGGCAGCACTGGTGGGCACTGACATGCCCTGATAGGCAGCACTGGTGGGCACTGATAGGCTGCACTGATGAGGCAGCATTGATGAGGAGGCATGATGAGGCACTGCAGCACTGATAGGCAGCAGTGATGGGCACTAATAAGCACCAATGAAGGACACTGACTGGTGGCACTGACGGGCACAGATTGGCAGCACTGCTCGGCACAGATTGACAGCACTGTTGGGCACTGACGGCAGCACTGTTGGGCACTGATAGGCAGCACTGTTGGGCACTGATGGACACTTTTGGGGCTGCACTGATAATCAGGACACTGATTATCAGTGTAGCTAACAGCATGAGGAAAGTACTACCAATAACCGGCAAGTGTATTTACATAGTGATCAGCTGTGATTGGACACAGCTGATTACGTGGAAAAAGGTTGTTATGATTGGCCCTTTACATGTCATGTAATCAGCTGTGTCCAAAGGATCACAGACAGCGCCAGGTGCGCGCTGCTGGGGGGCACACGGGGGGGCACATTTTTGGAAGCACGTCATATGATGTCCTCCCAGAACTGGATGACCACGCTGTAGCCGTCGTTCAGCTATAGCACGCTTAGCAATGAGAGTGGAGGGGGCTGCTGCCTGGCAAAAATGTTCTGGCTGGTAATGTGACAGCAGCTGAATTTTAGCAATGGTTAGGCAGAGATGTGCAGCACATGAGTGTGTAATGCTTCTCACAAAGAGTTTGGTTGCTGTTCTGGGCTATACAGCTACATATTATTGTGTACCCGCCATGTTTGCAGTTTATACTTATTTATACGTCACTTCCTGCTAGAAGAGTGGATACAGCTCTTCTACAGCTATATATATTGGACTCCAGCTACCAGAGAGAGCTGAATACAGAGGGATGCTGGGAAAGCTTATATATTCTACAGCAAGGGACTGCCTATCTCTCTTGGCCCGGGATTCAGAGAATAGGGGGACTGCCCTTCTCCTCCAGAGATAGATTGCTGGCTACTACTGAGGGACTCTGCATACTAGTACAGCACAGCAGTGATGCTGTTTGCCACACTAGGATCATATCCACTTCTCTGTATTTGGACTGCCACTATCTAGTCTTCAGCCAGTCATCTCTGCTTGCTGCGCTGACAAGCTATCAAGCGGTAACACTTTTCTGCGAACAGCCAAGAAGCCTGTGCAATAGACCTATTCCTAGGAGGCCATGCTATCCATGAGATTGGATACCTCTTTCTGACAACACTCTAGAGACACTGCATGCAGACACCTTTACAGCTCAGTACTTGCTTTGAGCATTTACCACAGTCTATCTGTTATCTTCACTGAATCACAATTACTCACTACTGTATATGGGCCCCACCATTGCTAGCAGGAGACAACAGCTACTATCAAATCAGGAACTTTAAACATCTAAAGACTCTATCTATATGCTATCTATAGTTAACAGGACCTCTTCACATCTAAGCCAGGATGCTCCCAGCAATCAGAGACTCAACTTTGCAGCCAGCTAACACCTGGAACTGATTATGCTGGGGTATTTAAGGGATGGCCAGACCCACAGACTCTGCCTTGGTGTTGTGTTTGTCCTGGGCCCTGTATCCTGTTTCTGTCCTGCATCCTGTTTCTGAACCGCTGCTGACTTCTCCTGCTCTGATCCCGGCTCGCTCCTGACCATCCCTCTGCCTGACCCTCTGTACCACGCTGCTTGCTACCTGTTCTGATCCCTGGCTTGTGACCCTGACCATCCCTCTGCCTGACCCTCTGTACTACGCTGCTTGCTACCTGCTGAACCTGGCCTGTGACCCCGACCAATCTCCGCTTGCTCCCCCTGTACCTACCTGCCCTATTGATATTGACCCGGCCTGCCTGACGACGCTTGCTTGTATGTACTTATCTGTGGGTGGTTGGTTTGGTTTGGTTGCACTGTATTATGTTTTAGTATTGCACTGCGTTTATGTTTGTATTGTTAGTGTTAATAAATTATATTGTTTATAACATATCTGAGGTCTGCGTTTCCCTGCGTCAGCCACACACCTCTGGTCACACCTGGGAGCCCTGACATTACACCAAGGCCAATCCTGACCAGAAGTGGCTGCACAGGGAAGCCATCTTGGCTTGTTGCTGGGAAGGATGGATCTGGATGAGGTTGTGTATTTATATCTGCTAGTGTTTGATGACAGGGAGTATGCTTATCAAACTCTGAAGGAGTATCCCAGGGATCAACTACTAGAATGTATACGGCTCGCTCATGTTCTAGTAGATCAGGGCACAGAGTTCTCTGAGGTGCAGCCTTTGATTGAGGTTTGTGCTGAGTTGGTTTCATCTGGTTCCCCCGAATGCAGGGATGAATTTTTGCCACCATTTAGTGCAGACCAGGTAGAGTCCCTGGTGTGGTTATTAGAGGATGATGTGGGTTACTTTCTGGAGCGTTATTCCACATGTTCACCACAGACACTAAGAGATTGTATAAACGCAGTGCAGTCATTGACCAGACAGGCTTTGTGTAAGCTCAGCTTTGTTCAACCCCTACTGCAGACATGGACAGACTTGTTGCACCCAGCCTCAGTCAGCTTACAAAAACCCAGTCCTGCTTCTAACTCTACTCCTGTATTCCCACCAGCTCCTCCAGTTACAGCCCAGTATACTTGGCTATCTACCGCATGTCAGTACCCTGTTCCCACTCGCTGCACCTATCCTGCCTTTAACCCTGTAAAAAAGCCCTCTGTAGCAACTGCTCCCTCTCCTGTTCCATCCTCCAGTTTTTCTCTGTCTCCAGCTGCTCCATTCGTTTGCAGACCTGCGTTTACTTGCAGTGCTCCAGTAGTTAAAACCAGAAAAAAGCGAAAATTCTTTCCAACCAATACCATCCTGCCAGTATCCCAAACCGGTGAACCTGCCTTCCGTGACTCAGCCTGAAGCCTCTACTCAGCCTGAAGCCTCTACTCAGCCTGATGCCTCTCTCAGCCGGATGCCTCTCTTCAGCCTGATGCCTCTACTCAGCCTGATGCCTCTCTTCAGCCTGATGCCTCTACTCCTGATGCCTCTCTTCAGCCTGCCTCTCTCAGCCTGATGCCTCTCAGCCTGATGCCTGCAGCCTGATGATGATGAACTGATCCAGCCCGACGATCCTATTAGGCCAGTTGACTCGATGCCCGCTGTTGATCCAGATGATCCGGTACCTGATCCAGTGCCCGCTGTCGTGCCAATTGACTCAGAGCCCGCTGTCATACCTGGTGACCCGGTGCCCACTGCCTTGCCAGATGACGCGGTGCCCGCTGGCAAGCCAAATGACCTGATGCCTGGTGACCCAGTGCCCGCTGTCATACCTGGTGACCCGATGCCCGCTGTCGAGCCAGACAATCCGATACCTGATGACCCGGTGCCCACTGTCGTGCCTGTTGACTCGGAGCCCACTGTCTTGCCAGACGACTCGGTGCCCGCAGTCTTGCCAGACGACTCGGTGCCTTAATCTTGCCAGACTGTTCCGCCAGTGACTCGGTCCCCGCAGTCTTGCCAGACTCAAGTCTTGCCAGACGACTGCCCGCAGTGAGCCCGCAGTCTTGCCAGTGACTCAATGCCCGCTGTCCGCCAGTTGACTCGGTGCCCGCAGTCCCGCAGTGCCAGACGACTCGGTGCCCGCTGTTCCGCCAGTTGCCAGACGACTCGGTGCCCGCAGTCTTGCCAGACGCCCCGCTGTCTTGCCAGACGACTCTCGGTGCCCGCAGTCTTGCCAGACGACTCGGTGCCCGCAGTCTTGCCCAGACGACTCGGTGCCCGCAGTCTTGCCAGACGACTCGGTGCCCGCAGTCTTGCCAGACGACTCGGTGCCCGCAGTCTTGCCAGACGACTCGGTGCCCGCAGTCTTGCCAGACGACTCGGTGCCCGCAGTCTTGCCAGACGACTCGAAGCCCGCTGTTCCGCCAGTTGACTCGGTGCCCGCAGTCTTGCCAGACGACTCGGTGCCCGCAGTTCTTGCCAGTCGACTCGGTGCCCGCAGTCTTGCCAGACGACTCGGTGCCCGCAGTCTTGCCAGACGACTCGGTGCCCGCAGTCTTGCCAGTTGACTCGATGCCCGCTGTTCCGCCAGTTGACTCGGTGCCCGCAGTCTTGCCAGACGACTCGGTGCCCGCAGTCTTGCCAGACGACTCGGTGCCCGCAGTCTTGCCAGACGACTCGGTGCCCGCCCGCAGTCTTGCCAGTTGACTCGGTGCCCGCTGTTTGCCAGTTGACTCGGCCCGCAGTCTTGCCAGACGACTCGGTGCCCGCAGTCTTGCCAGTTGACTCGGTGCCCGCAGTCCCGCCAGTGCCCGACTCCAGACTGGTGCCCGCAGTCTTGCCAGACGACTCGGTGCCCGCAGTCTTGCCAGACGACTCGGTGCCCGCAGTCTTGCCAGACGACTCGGTGCCCGCAGTCTTGCCAGACGACTCGGTGCCCGCAGTCTTGCCAGACGACTCGGTGCCCGCAGTCTTGCTTGCCCCGCAGTCTTGCCAGACGACTCGGTGCCCGCAGTCTTGCCAGACGACTCGGTGCCCGCAGTTCCGCCAGTTGACTCGATGCCCGCTGTTCCGCCAGTTGACTCGGTGCCCGCAGCCAGTCTTGCCAGACGACTCGGTGCCCACTGTCGTGCCTGGTGACTCGGTGCCCGCCGCTTCGTCTGGGGGCCCGAGCCTGTGTTGCTCCGCCTGAGGGCCCGAGACCTGTCGCTCCATCTGGGGGTCCGGCGCCCGCCGCTCCGCCTGAGGGCCCGAGACCTGTCGCTCCATCTGGGGGTCCGGCGCCCGCCGCTCCGCCTGAGGGCCCGAGACCTGTAGCTCCCCCCTGGGGGTCCGGCGCCGGTGCCGCTCCGCCTGGGGGCCCGATGCCTGTCGCCCCGCCTGGGGGTCCGATGCCCTGTGTCGCCCCGCCTGGGGGCCCGATGCCTGTCGCCCCCTGACCTGGGGGACGTCGATGCCCGCCTGTCCCCCCGCCTGGGGGTCCGAGCCTGTCGCTCCGCCTGAGGGCCCGAGCGCCTGTCGCTCCGCCTGAGGGCCCGAGACCTGTCGCTCCATCTGGGGGTCCGGCGCCCGCCGCTCCGCCTGAGGGCCCGAGACCTGTCGCCTGTAGCTCCGCCTGGGGGTCCGGCGCCCGCCGCTCCGCCTGGGGGGCCGATGCCTGTCGCCCCGCCTGGGGGTCCGATGCCTGTCGCCCCCCCTGGGGGTCCGAGCCCTGTCGCCCCGCCTGGGGGTCCGATGCCTGTCCCCCGCCTGGGGGTCCCGATGCCTGCCTGGGGGGTCCGATGCCTGTCGCCCGCCTGGGGGCCCGAGACCTGTCGCCCATGTCCGCCCTCCCGCCTGAGGGCCCGAGACCTGTCGCTCCATCTGGGGGTCCGGCGCCCGCCGCTCCGCCTGAGGGGCCCGAGACCTGTCGCTCCATCTGGGGGTCCCGGCGCCCCGCCGCTCCGCCTGAGGGCCCGAGACCTGTCGCCCCCCCCGGGGGTCCGGCCCTGCCGCCCCCCCGGGGGGCCCGAGCCTGTCGCCCCGCCCGGGGGCCCCCCCGATGCCTGCCGCCCCCCCGGGGGCCCGGTGCCTGCCTGCCCCGCCCCGGGGGCCCGGTGCCTGCCGCCCCCCCGGGGGCCCGGTGCCTGCCGCCCCGCCCGGGGGCCCGGTGCCTGCCCCGCTGCCGCCCCGGGGCCCGCCCGCCTGCCCGATGCTTCTGCCTGGTAGCCCGATGTGCCTCTGCCCGGAGTCCAGCCCGATGTGCCTCTGCCCGGAGCCCGGAGTCCAGCCCGATGTGCCTCTGCCCGGAGTCCAGCCCGATGTGCCTCTGCCCGGAGTCCAGCCCGATGTGCCTCTGCCCGGAGTCCAGCCCGATGTGCCTCTGCCCGGAGTCCAGCCCGATGTGCCTCTGCCCCAGCCCGATGTGCCTCTGCCCGGAGTCCAGCCCGGTGTGCCTCTGCCCGGAGTCCAGCCCGGTGTGCCTCTGCCCGGAGTCCAGCCCGATGTGCCTCTGCCCCAGCCCGATGTGCCTCTGCCCGGAGTCCAGCCCGGTGTGCCTCTGCCCGGAGTCCAGCCCGGTGTGCCTCTGCCCGGAGTCCAGCCCGATGTGCCTCTGCCCGGTGTGCCCGGAGTCCAGCCCGGTGTGCCTCTGCCCGTCCAGCCCGATGTGCCTCTGCCCCCGGTGTGCCCGGTGTACCACTGCCCGGAGTCCTGCCCGGTGTGCCAGTCTTTGATATCCCGCCAGTTACCAGACCCGGGCGGTGGAACATTTTTCCCAGCTAGGACTGTTTGGAGCGTCCTGAGGCCGCTCCTTGAGGGGGGGGTACTGTCAGGAATGGACTGGCCAGCAATGGTGGGACTCACCTGCCTTTTGATCTGCAGTACCAGGGCTGGCCAGCGGATGCTCCCAGCAATCAGAGACTCAACTTTGCAGCCAGCTAACACCTGGAACTGATTATGCTGGGGTATTTAAGGGATGGCCAGACCCACAGACTCTGCCTTGGTGTTGTGTTTGTCCTGGGCCCTGTATCCTGTTTCTGTCCTGCATCCTGTTTCTGAACCGCTGCTGACTTCTCCTGCTCTGATCCCGGCTCGCTCCTGACCATCCCTCTGCCTGACCCTCTGTACCACGCTGCTTGCTACCTGTTCTGATCCCTGGCTTGTGACCCTGACCATCCCTCTGCCTGACCCTCTGTACTACGCTGCTTGCTACCTGCTGAACCTGGCCTGTGACCCCGACCAATCTCCGCTTGCTCCCCCTGTACCTACCTGCCCTATTGATATTGACCCGGCCTGCCTGAGTACTGTTATCTGTGGGTGGTTGGTTTGGTTTGGTTTGGTTGCACTGTATTATGTTTTAGTATTGCACTGCGTTTATGTTTGTATTGTTAGTGTTAATAAATTATATTGTTTATAACATATCTGAGGTCTGCGTTTCCCTGCGTCAGCCACACACCTCTGGTCACACCTGGGAGCCCTGACAGCATAGAAACCAATCAGCCTCCAACCTCAGCTTGTCCAGTTAGGCTTTGGCAATAAAATCTGGCAGCTGATTGATTTCTATGCAGATGTGAGCTATATTTTTCACTCTCCAGCTTTATTAAATAAACCCCAGAGGTGTGGGGAGGTTTGCAAGGTCAGGGCAACCATTGGGAAAAAACTTTATCAAGCAACCCTGGCGGGGGTAGAACTGCTTAATATTATATATAATGTTTTTTTGCCATGTAAAAAATAGCATTGGGGTTTATTGATTCAGAGTTTTTTTGGGAGGAGTTATGTTTTATTTTTTTGCTAGAGCCTTTTTTTTAATTTTAGGGTTCAAGTCTATACTTGTTGCTGACAACGGCAAAACTGCCCTTTGTTTGCAGCACACTACAACTGCAAGTGGTAAAGTAGTGTGCACAAAAGCACCACATATTTATTCCCCCTATTGCTGTAGCTGTTGGTACATTTAGGCTCTCTCCATTATTAAAACTGTCAGGCAGGCTAAAGGGAAAATCAGAGGTTCGGTATGCAGTGCAGGTAGGAGGCATGCAAGTCCTGTGAGAGAGTGGTGGTTGGGTTGCACCATCAGGGCAGGGCATGTCTACCTGTCTTATCTTGGAATGGCTGTATTATACAGCCACAGCATGCACAGAAGTTAGTGGAGTCGCAGGCAAAGCCTTCCTTTTCTTTCTCTTCCCAAAAGCTTCCAGTAGCTGGAACTTACTGCCAAGTGGGCTAAAGTGATGAGGAGGAGGTGGATGGTGAGGTGCCAGATTGTCCTTTGGTGCCACCAGTTGTAGAGGAGTAAAGTTGTGAGGAATAGTCAAAGAAGGGTTTAATTCAGGGGCAGAGGTAGCTTGTTGAAAAATTGAGGGAGCAGCAGTCCTAATCCATCTGGCGAAACTGACCCACAGGTATCAGACCACTGCTTTCTACTGAGGCGGTCCACAGAGCTCTGCAGTGTAGGCCTTTTTTAAAAAACATTTTTGCTGCCAACAGCACCATTGTCATGTGCAGTCCCTGCCTGCGGCATATCATCCATGGTACAAATACCAACCATTATGGCAGAACATAAAGAAACACATGATTGCACCACAGAACATGGTGGGAGCAGCACCCCAATGAGAAAAGTCAGCAGCAAAAAGCCCATACTCCTCTTCATCCTCATTTCCCACATCTCACTCTCCACAAAATTATCTGGCTCCTGCTGCCTCTACTGGCAGAAATGGAAGTCTCAGAGAGACTTAGCTCTGATTGAGGGAAACTCAACATAGGGGTAGCCCCAGTGAGGACACTGTTACTGCCATTTTTTTTGATGCTTTATGATAAATGTGGACATTTCTGATTTATCCGGTGTGCAGCAGCTCTTACAGTATTTTTGCTTCTGGACAGTAAGCATGAATGGCACAGATAGCCTCCAGCACCCAGGGTTCGAGTGGCAGTGAGGAAAAGCTACTTGGAGTGAAGAATTTCTTTGATTTAATGGCTAGAGCAAGTTGTAGAAG